GCCATCGTCTTATTACTTCCATAGTGATAAATAGGGGTGTATCTTGAGTAGAGGAGTAGGTACTGATTAATTTTCGGCGAGAAAAATGACGGGCTAAAAAGATGACCCGGGATTCGAACCTGGGACCTTCCGCTCGCCGGGCGAGTGCTCTTCCAACTGAGCTATCCAGGCCCACGCTCGAAGTCCTTCTCGCTTACCTACACTTTAGTTTACTTAATAAAGTAGGAACTCCATACGATGAATTGTCATCTATCTGGAATCCAACTTGACACGTCGAATGCGGGCACAGATTCTAATTTCGTCAGGTATGCAGATTCGAAATATTTGGCGGTATTCGACGTAGAAATGAATGTATCTCGATTTATTGAATCTAGCAAACGTTCGTATAGGTTTCTTCTACGCGCTGCTTATTGAAGTAACGCTGCCACGGTTACGTATTGCAAATCGCTTGAAAGTTTTGTAGACTGTCGCACGTTTCTCGCGCTTTACCGGGGGAAGACAACGATCGGCGGCGTGCCGAAGTTACGCAAATAGGACCAGAGGGACGTCCCTTCGGTGCGGCGCGACAAAACACTTCACGCGGTTTTTGCCTTTTATTACGAGGCATTTCCGGAAGATATATGTATGCGAGGAAGGGGAAAGATCTCGGTGCGCGAGGAGCGTGGCGTTGGAGGGTTCGCGAGGCGTGACAAGAAATGTCACACGCTTCGGAAAGCATAACTACGTGAGGCCTGGGCTCGCACACCGCCACGTTGACGCACGCGGGGGCACGCACGCACGAACGCACACGCGCGCGCACGCACGCTCGCGCAAGACACAGAAAGAGAGACGAGCGCGAAAATATTGAGAGCCTCCGGAGAAATATTGCCCGTTGCGTGATGCACGAACGCGCCTCTGATTCGAGACGTGTAAACAGCCCGTGGATCGATGCGATCAAACAAAAAAAAAGCATACAAAAAATTCCCAGCTCGGGGGTGTAATACTCTTACGCAGCTGATACGGGATTGCGTGTGTATCCAGAACGCGGTAGATTATCATCGCGAGTAGAAGGATCTAATCCTTTACACGAGAGAGTAAAGCCGCTTTACCTCGCACGTTTTCGCATGACAGAGTCACGGTTCGTAACGTCATCGGGTCAATGGAAATTTTTCTGTAATGTCTCATAAATAAAGCATCAGCCCGGCACGCCGCGGCTGACCCCCCGCGAGCAGGTTTACGCGACCCGCGATGGTAAAGTTATTTTTTCTTTGTTGAAGCGTATTTATTTGTAAAAAAAAATGGGTTTAAAGCCACGAGAGGAGAATGGCGAAATCCGGGAGTACATCGAGCCGCTGGAGAAATATTGCTCGCGAGGTAAGGCACACGGAAACGTCGCTGTGAGAGGCGTAAACCACATTATACGGGCCGTGAAACCGGGGAAAAATGTTTGTCCCGCCCGCGCGGTCGATGCATAATCGTCTCCGTATTGTTAGAAATTAAAGACTTGTCACGTGTAATATCCCCGAACGACGAATTGCAAAGTCGGCTGAAATATTGAGCGGTCGGAGAAATATTGCCCGCCGCGTGACGCGTAAATGCGTCGATCCGAGGGGCATATATCGCATTATACCGTTCGTGAAAAACGAAATAAAATGTACGTGCACGCGCGTGTTGCTAGTAGACAAGTTTTACGGTAATGTTTTTTTGTCAACGAAAGTGCCGTGGTATTAATCTCGCGGCTGCCTGGAGCATCTATGAAAAATATCGTGTTTTTAATGGAAAGCGCATAATGCATTGTACAACTTTTAAACTGTATATTTGTGCAACAATAATATATCAAAGTCGTAAATTATGTTTATGATACTTGTGCGCTAATGCAATAACGTTCTCGTGACGGGTGTACGAGATATGCGTGAATGAAATATATGTAATGTGTATGTAATGAAAATATATAAATGCGTTTTCAAAATGACATAAAAGTAATGGCGACACGTGAAAACATAACGCTGCAAAGCTCTCGTTAAATGCCCGTACGATTCTTCAATTTATACAAATTATTATTTCCATTTGTATTTCAAAATTGTGCGCGCCTCCGCGAATCGGACGATTCGCATGAAGAATTGGAAAAAGAATCGGCTCTGAAGGGTAAAGCGCTGACCAAAATCATGTACACTAATGTCTACTAATGCCCAGTGGGCATTACTTCATCTTATTATCTTATTTATCTTGTTTTATCTTATTTCATCTACTGCCTCAAGGCCTAATGCACAAACTAATGCCCAAAAATGCCTAGTAATGCCCGCTAATGCCGCAAATCTGTACACCGCAATGCCTGTTTTATCTTTTTAGATTCTTTATAATGCACCAGCAGGACCAAATGACGCCCACTAATGTCCAAAAAAATGCCCAGTAATGCCCGAAATCTATACATCACATTGCCCTCAGCGGTTTACCCCTTGGTTCTAACGCATTTGCCTTAAAGAAAAAAGAAAAGAAGAAATAGTTCATGACGTGTGTATCTACGTCATATTGGTTTCATGAGGTGTTATGATTTCACGCTTCCGCTACGAGCCAGTACGTCGTGCGCAGGCCGACAGCGCGTCGTCGCGTATTACAGTATCAGATTGCAAATCAATATCTCATTTCGTAGGTATGAGCCCGAGATGTTGCGTTCGTAATGCAGTTTCGTGACCGAGAGTGTCGACGTGTTCGAGTGGCTGAAAGCAGGCGGGCGCACACGCGAGATGACACACGTGTGCGGCCGTACGTACACCCGACATTTTTATGCGTGCACACACGCGCCTGATCGACGGCTCTGATAGGGGAAGGGGAAGATTGGGAAGGGGTTGATCTCGCGACCGGTCAGAGGAAACTGGAACGAACATAGTTAAGTCGAATTACTCTTGGGGCTCCATAACTTCGCGACTGCTTTTCCGCGAAAGATTTATCGATTGACTACGCGAAGAGCTTTTCATTACTGCGCGCTTGTTATCGTCTTACGTTTACTATCTTCGGGAACAGAACCGTGGTTTTTAAACGCGCAGCTAAAAATAAATATCTATCAAACTGAATCAGTAGAGTCTCTCGTTACCGCAACATGAGCGCAGTTAATGAAGAGAAATGCAGTTTTAATTTTAGCATTGAAATTTTCTTCTATAAACTCGCTCACGCGACTCGTTAAATTGTTTAACGAACGCCCTCTCTCTTCGCCGGCTGCTCTCCAGCCCGCGTCATGCAGAATTTCATTTCGCTTCGAGATCTGCATAATTCGCCGCAATAATTGAGTCGGCCGTGTAGTACGCGCAACCGCGTGCCTTCCGTATCTCTTTTAGGTCGAATAGTTCAGGGTCGAAGGTCGGCATTTCGGCGAAAGCGTTAACCCCGCACTCGTCCTCTCACTTCTCATCCCTTCGGCCTCGACTGTGCCACGAAATCTCGTAACATCGACGTCGAGATTTGCATAATTCGTTGCGATAATTAAGCAATCTGCATATTACGGATCGCGCGCGCGCCTCTTTCGTGGGCAAATAGTCGCGGTCCTGAAGTCTGCCCCTGCTCCGTCTTCTGCCCGCGTATTCGGCTATTAGATTAGAGGGCTGTAACGAGTAATATTCACGTAACCATCCCGCACTACCACCCATGCGATTTCACCCCACGCATGTACACGTTTAACGCACGACATAAACCGCGAATCCTCCGTCGAGCGTCAAAAGCGGCTCCAGCTTCTCTCCGCGCAAACGTACAAGGACGTAAAACGTGACGAATGTGTTTCTTTTGTGGTAGCTTTTGGTAAAAGGTAACAAAATACATCTCCGATTCTCGTAGAAAAATAGGCAACGCATAGCTGGATACATCAATTTTTTGTCTCTGGTTAATAATTTATATTCTTCTTGCTTTCTAAAAATCAATCAGGATTATCACTGTTTACAGTTATAAATGTACCACTGCAATTTTCAGTAGAATATTTATAACTGCAAGTCAGCGATTCGCTTATTTCAGTGATAATTCACTGCAATTGACTTTTAGAGAGTGCGTATCCCTACTTGTCCCCTTTGACTTTTTCAAAATCTTTTAACGTCGGGCTCGTATAAACTCGCACTCGTATAAACCAGCTCTTTAGCGTTACGATAATTTCTCTCTTTTAATAGCAGGTCTGCCGGGGAAAATAATCAACTTAGAGAGTTGTAGGATCGCGAGCCGTGAGGCGACAGTTCAACACAAACCTTCGCCTCGATCTTAATTGTACATTGTCTAATAATTGTCTGAGACACAAACTCCCTTAGGCGCGTCAATGCATGTCAGCGTGAGCGGCGGTCGATAGGCAATAACGCCGACAAGGACGATCGGGGGTCCGGCAAGCGGCTTTGCAAAGTTTCGCCAATCAGCAGGTGGAATCCCGGACGGAACTCACTGACAATTCAATTACAACTGGGAATTCCTGGTCCGACCCTAAGCCGAGAAAGTTCGGCGGTTTGACGGAGACCGGGGGACGCTCTTCTCTCCGGAGGGCTGCGGGGAGAAAGCGAAGAGGGGACCGGGGGAGGGGGGCGAGCCGCGCTTCTCCAAGTGTTATGCAGATTTCTGTTTGGCCAGTCATTACTGGGGTGTTTGCAGGCACGACAGCCATTGCTACGGCTACCCGGTCCGATCTCCAACCACCAGCTACCAGTTACCCCTTCCGATCCCCCTCCCCCCCCCCTCCCCTCCGCTCGTCGCGCCCCGCTGCCGTTAACGGAAGACGGCCATCTACTGCCCAGCCATGGCGCGCATCCCTATCCTCGATATTCATATCAGCCCCCCTTCATCCAGTGTAGCGCTTCTATGAATATTTACCCTCCTTTCTGTTAATATCGCGTACGTGACATTTTCCGAGCGTAAATACGTGCCGACGTCCATGAACACGATGACTGGCGGTCATCGGCTGAAGAGGCGGATCGAAAGATAAAAAAATAAACGCTCGCTCCGGGAGCGAAGGGGTCGACCAATGCTCGTTGTTGTAATATTATACGACGGGTACTCACCGGCATAGTTTGGCTACCGTGTAGAGAGTTTATTGCTGCCAGTGCTTCTTGGTGCGACGAGAGTTTCACGAAGGCACAGCCTGAAACGAAAAGAGTACTTAATTTAGTGGAAAAATATCGTACACAGGTTTCTTGCGGTACACGTTATCATATTTTCAATATTAAAAATGCAGCTCTTTTTCTGTTCCAGCGTAAATCTCAAAATATGTTATATGCCACGAGAAATGTTCTGCATCTGTTAATATTTCGTACTTAAAAAAAATGTACACTGTACGGACACGCATGTTATAATTATAAAACCATGCGGCTTTTCGCCGAGACAGTAGTAACTACGGCAAAACGAAGAGTTACATCATAGAACTCGCGAACGTTCGCCTGTTTATTTGCCGGAAGGAGCGTCGCGAGTAGCCGGCTCCTTCCTTCTTCATCGAAAATTCCGCGGTGTGCTCGAAACTCGGGAGATAGTTTTATCTCGGCGAGCGATTCGCGACGAGAGAGGAGTTCCGTTTCTGCCATTGTCGAGGAGCGAGGCCGTCCGCGACGAGATGATGGAGCGATTAATCGCTCTCCTACCATTTGCCACGTGCGCTCATCGCCGGTAGTTAGATGGAGACGCGGCGAAGACAAAGAGCTCAGGGGCTCTTTGAAAAATTGACGCGCCAGCGGAGCGCAACGTGCACTTTAATAAAAGATGTTTACCGCGCGCGGACGACGCGCCTCGTAATCCGAGACGACGGTCATCGGCGGTTTCGTGCAACAACTATTTGTATCGTGGCGATGGGAACGACACCCGACGATTGTTGTCATCTTTTGCGCGCGCGTCATATAAACGGGATAATCCACTGGATCGTCGCGTTCGATCTGTCGGGACGCGGACTCGTTCGAAAATAAACCTCTCGATGTTACCGCCGTGGCAAGAAACTCGGAGGAGTTTCTCGCTTGTGCATTGAGGTCGCGTCATATGGCGATATCCAAACGATATTTTATGCCGATAGCAGGTGATAGCGTATCGGTCTATTTTCTTCTCTCTATTTTTTTTTTCCGGGGGAACGCCGAGTTTTATAGCCGGCAAATTTGATTCGATCGACCCCTCGGGTGTTTCGCCACCTGAAATACTAACCGATGAAGGTAATAATTAAATTTAACCGTAACGGCGTTAAAGTCAGAGCCGATCGGTGCGTCGTTGCGAGCTTAACGCGAGAATTGCGTAACGTGCTAACGCATTAAAAAAAATGAGATTAATCTTCTCGAGGATCTCGAGCACTCGTCCAATATCTACACTCGCCAATTTCTGTCGGACGGGTGCCTCGTGAAAAATAAACGAAACTCGATTGCGATATGCTGCTGGGGGACGGGACGGATCAGGGATTGAAGGGAATTAGGGCGAAAAGAGGACGCTCCATCCCCGTACTTGCTCAAGTACGACAAGATAACGTACACCCGCCCGTCCCTTTCCTAAGCCCTGGACCTTGCTCCGATCTCAGCAGCCCTCGTCTTCGACATCCAGTTTCGAACTCCCGTCCCTTGCTTCAACGATATGACACAAGAAAGTCGGAATAGGCGGACAATTTTAGACTTCCGATCGATATATCACGTTTCGAAACTTTATGACGTATTAGAAGGGGAATCGTCTCGCGCGCGTTTGTGTGCGTATACGTCGCACATTGATGCGAAGAAAATTGCATAGCGCGCGCGCGCGCGCGATTTACACACAAATCAATTGTTCGCGAAAGAACCACTGTGCATTTCGTGCGAGGCGTGTCAGATGAAGCGGGGCGAAGAAAAGATAATCACGTACAACTGTTCTAAAACGCTAAGTAATTGGAGCACGGGGAAAAAAATGACAAAGCGGTTCTTCCCGCCTTGTTCCCGGCAGCTCATTAAGTGGCGTTGCTTGACGGCATTATACTCCTTGCCTCTCTGGCCCTTCCTGTCCGGAACACCTGGCGTCCATTGTAGCGATGATAATGTCGCCATGTCAACCTCATGCCGCTACATTAATCAGGCCTTTGAATCTCGAAAATTTCGAATATTTAACCAGGTTCGGCGGGACCGCCGCTAATGCGCGCACGCGAACACGCGGCCGCAATTCGCATAATAGTACACAGATTAATATGTAATAAATTAATTCGATCAGCGCCAACTCGGTAATACCGTTTTCCTCTTATCGCGTTTGTGCATTAATTTGCGGGGTTGGACAATTATTCGCGATCGTCGCGCGGGAATTCGAGATGGAAAAATGGCCGAAATTGCTGAAGGACCGATATCGGGCGGGCGGACGAGGCTCCCTCCCCCCTCTTGTCCGATCCCGCAGATCCCGGAGTCGTATACGGCGAACGTAAGAATTCACCGGAGCTTCCAAAGCGTTTCTGCTCCCCCCCCCCCGCGTCCTTCCCCTCCCGCGAATCTCACGAAAACGATGCGCACTTGAGATTTTTCTTCGGCGTTTTCCGCATTGGTGGGACGCGAGCTTGTGCGAAAATAAAAGACTCGAGTTTCACGAAATTTCGCATATATCCGGCCGAAATCGCGGGCGTATGCACACGTATACGGATCAATATGTCACAGCAATAGTCGTATTTTTTGGCTATTTTTTTTCAAGAACGTATTACACGTTTTACAGTATCTGGATGTAATTTTACAAAAATATAAAAATTTACATCCGAGGAATATAAAAAAGTGTATTGATTTCCATAAACACAATGAGTGCGTTTCGGCAAGACGCTGCTACCGTAGCGCTATAGCTTTTTACTACAATTGTAGCGGCGCCATACTTACCCATACAACACGTATGTCTAAAAGACATCTTTAAGACATTTTTAAATCGTCTTTTAGACATACATACATATCTAAAAGACGTCTTAAAGATGTCTTAGACATGCGTGCTGTATGGGTATATTAGCGTGCATAACCTCAAAATTGTATTTTAATTGTAAGAGTCGCGTTTACCAATTAATTGAAACAAATAGAATGAAAAATATTGAAGATAGACTCATGAATGACATATTGTTCGATGACTCATCAGATGAAAGCAACAATGAAGAGGAAGAAGTCCCGCTGCAGGAAAGTTTTGCCGAAACGCACTCGTGTAGCGCTACCGTAGTGCTACAGTAGCAGTGTCTTGCCGGAACACACTCTATGCCGTTTTGTTTTTAATAAAATGGGAAGGGATCAATCATGTCGAAAATGTCCAGACACGGGGAATTTATATTTCGAAACGGATGTAGGTCCAGATAACTCGTCCATTATTTGAACCGTGAAAAGGCGCGTAGGAAATATTTAGATTCTTATATCTCAACGGTTGACAAGAGCGGCGTACGACAATGGCTACGACGACAGCCCCGCCAGATCTCTTTCCGTCGGCTCAAAGACGATATTTTAATGGCCTGCTTTCGCGGTACGAGTAACGTCCAGCGGCAAACATTGGATATAACGAAGCGCGGCGGTCGAATCGTCGGCCCTTCGCTCCTGGCGGGCGAATTGAGTTTCGTGGGCTTCTCCCGCACCCGCTTTCGTCCTGAATCCTTCTTCCTCTCCGATTCAACCGCCCCTCGTGCGCCATCGTCGCGGGGAGCCTGGAGCTCCGATCGATAGCGCCCACGAGACTTTCCACTCATATATTTGATTGCTCGGCAAACATGCCTAAGTTTATCCCCGCAGCCATCGTCATCGCTGAGCGACTACTACCACCGCTCGCTTCAACTCTCTCTCTCTCTCTCTCTCATGCACGCGTATCCTACGAGCCGCTCGGATGTCGTCGCGAGTTTGTTCGTTCGGGGCGTTGCGCTTAAAGTAATTCGATCCTATTAAGGCCGCGATGTAATTGAACGCTACCAAGTTACCCGAAGTATTCGGTCTCGATGAAGGAACGGCATAAGAGCGATCGACGCGCGAGCTAGAAACCCCTTTGCTGACAAAACACTCTACTTCCCGCCGCGGTTTTTTCGACGTAGAAACGCTCGTTCTAAATTCGAGCGGCACGACAAGGATGAAATATTTATTACGCGCGTCGTCGACGATCGCCGAGCGAGACGAGAAAAGAGACAACTTCTCTTCGTTCCCCCCTTCTCCTCCCTCCCGTAATCGCTTATTCAATTATTCTTTAACATTGTAACTGTGTCGCGCCATTAGCTCCGCTTTTACTACTATAAACGGTTCGTGGCCTTACGGTACGGGTTGTGCTAACTCGTTTGACGAGCCGCCGCTCGATAGCGAGTCAAGGCGAGACGTGTAGCGCGTTTAGCGATCGATCTTCTTATACTCGTTTCCGCGAGTAAAACTTGGCGGAAGTTGTACGCTTCATTAATCAACAGTTGATAATTAAATCAAGCCGCGAACTAAGTTCGAAAAAATGCCGCGCGCGCTCTCCCGTTTGAGTTCGCCTCGGCGTTAGAGGGGCCTCATTAAAGAGTAATTATTTCGCTACGTTACGCGGAGGGCGCTACACCGCCCGATCGATAGATCTTTTATCCAGCCGCGTGGCGGACACGTTCCGAAAGAAGCGTCGGCGCGAAAATAGAATCGTCGTGATCGATGGGCGACGAACATCTGTTACCTTTGCTTGATGAAAGAGGGCGATTTGAATATAGACCCGTCGCGACCCGCGCGCGCCTCGTGTGCCAACCTTTGCGACGCGCTTGTAAAAGTCGCTGAGCGAACGTCTGTTTCGTTCTTTTTTTTTTTTTTAATAACTATCGAGGACGAACGCACGGAGAACTGTCGCGCGACAGAACGCATTGCGATAGCGCCACGCGCGGTAATTGCCAAGTGCTTTATAAATATATTAGATATTTTAACATGAATACACCAGAGCCGACGTGAAAGCTAATATGATCATTTGCCAATTTACATTGATACGATATTCCGTGTAACACCGGAAGTTATACGATTAATATATACAAACAAATCAAGCGCAAATACGGGATAGTTAATAATTGATATGGCAATTATTTATAATAATCATGTCAAGTATGCATCGGTACACAATCGAGTTTGCATATGATAATATCTGTCAGTGATGTAAATTTTCAATTCACTCTCAAGTCTTTCCTCAAATTTTCGAAATACAATGCGCGGGAGC